TGGGAGATTGTTCCATGAGTGACTTACTGTGGAGACTTAGATGGTAGGATTCCTATCTACCAAAGATCAAGTAACTTAAAAGTCGTAGACATATCAACTTCCTTTGGAGCGAGTGCCTAGACGACAGGCTCTCTAGATGTATTCAGGGAAATGGAACTCTCTCTCCGCTCCACAGAGAGAGTATCTTGGGGAAGTACAGCACAGTACTGTGCTTTTACGCAGTAGCCATTGAGAAAATCAGTCAGCCAAGCACTCATGTCTAAAGACATCCAGATCAAGAGAACAGAAACCCTCTAGAAAGGAAGCTCCGTTACAGTCTTTTCTCCCTCAGCTTCTGAGGCGATAAAGAACTGGCTGGAACCCTGCAAAGAGTCATCTTTCCTTGTTATTAGCCTTTATCTTTAAACCAAATTGACACATTCCCTAAGGCCAGACCAGAAAAGGAAGCAATGCCTTCAGCTGTATCCTCAACCGTTAACAATTTTGCTCCTCTTTGCTGCCATCCTCACTCACAGTCTGTCCCTCTTCCAGAGTAGTTTTTTTTTTATTGTGGTAAAAGATACATAACATAAATTTACTATTTTAACCATTTTAACTGTAGAGTTCAGTGGCATTCAGCATATTCACATGGCTATGCAACCATCACCACCAACCATCTCCAGAACTTTTTCATCTCCCAAAGTGAAGCTCCGTATCCATTAAACAGTGACTGCTGATTCCTCCTTTACACTAGCCCCTGGAAACCACTGGATTATCTCCCGCTTCTATAAGTTTGACTATATTAGATGCCTCATGTAAGTGGAATTATGCAGTGTTAATTTTTCTATCACTGGCTTATTTCACTTAGAATAATGACCTCAGAATTCAAGTTGTTACGAATGGCAGGTTTTTTTTTCTTTTTCAAGGCTGAATAATATTCCATGTATGTATATACCACATTTAAAAAAAATCCATGAATCCATGAATGGAAATGTAGGTTGTTTCCACATCTTAGCTCTTGTGCATAATGCTGAAATGAACATAAGAGTGCAAATAATTCCTTGAGATTTCAGTATTTTTGAATAAATATTTAGGAGTGGGATTACTGGATTGTATGGTGGTTTCATGTTTAATTTTTAGGAACCTCCACACTGTTTTCCATAGTAGCTGTACCAATTTACATTCCTAGCAAGAGTGCACAAGTGTTCCCTTTTCTTTACAACCTCACCAACTCTTGTCACTTCTTGTCTTTTTGATAATAGCCATTTTAACAAGATGTGAGGTGATATATCATCGTAGTTTTGATTTACATTTCCCTAATGTTTAGTTATATTTAGCATCTTTTCATTTACTTTTTGGCCATTTGTGTATCTTCTTTGTAATAATTTCCATTGTAGTCCTTTGCCCATTTTTAATTTGGGCTATTTTTGCTATTGAGTTGTATGAATTTTGTATATGTTTTGGATATTAACCCCTTAACAATTACATGGTTTGCAAATATTTTCTCCCTTTCTATAAGTTTTCTCTTCATTGCTAGTACTTTGTTGAGAATTTTTGCATGTATGTTCATCAGAAACATTGGTGTACAGTTTTGTTGTGTTTGGCTTTGGTAACAGTAATTCTGGCCTTATAAAACGCGTTTGGAAGTGTTTTTTTCCTCATCAGAGTTTTAGAAGAGTTTGAGAAGGATTGGCGTTAATTCTTCCTTAAATGTTGAGTGGATTCTGTGTTCTTAGGCTTTACTTTCATGGGAAGTTTGTGAGTATTGATTCAATTTCCTTGCTCATTATCAGTCTGTTCAGATGATCTATTTCTTCATGCTTCAGTTTTGGTAACTTGTATGTTTCTAGGACTTCATCCATTACTTCTAAGTCATCCAATTTGTTGGTGTAGAATTGTTTGTAGTAATCTCATAACTTTTTTTGTGGCATCAGTTTTAATGTCTCTGCTTTCATTTCTGATTTTCTTTATTTGACTTTTCTTTCTTTTTTCTCAGTCTAGCCAGAGTTTGTAAATTTTGGTTTTCTTTTCAAAACAACAAACTCTTAGTTTCATTGATTTTTAAAAATTGTTTTTTTAGTCTCTATTTATTTCTACTCTAATCTTTATTATTCCATCCTCTGCTAATGTTCGGCTTTGTTCTTCTTTTTCTCATTTCTTGAGATACACTGTTAGGTTGTTTATTTGAGATCTTGTTTTTTAATGTAGGTGTTCATCACCATAAATTTTCCTCCTATATTGCTTTTGCTGCATCCCATAGATTTTGGCATGTAGTTTTTTCATTTTCACTTGTCATGAAATATTTTTTTTTCCTTTACTACTTTTTAAATTTTTTTAGAAGATTTTTATTGGGGAATTGGGGGATGGGAACAGCTCTGGGGAATTGGGGGAAGGGGAACAGACAAGTTGCTGTCCTTTTTGTTCTTCAGTCTAGTTG